CCCCAAAACCCCAAAACCCCAAAACCCCAAAACCCCAAAACCCCAAAGTAAGAAAAATATATAGAAATTATTTTAAATTTCCCTGAAAATGGAACAAAAGTAAGAATTCCCTTAATCATCCCTAACCCCATAGTCCTGAGGAAGAGAAGCAGGTCCAAGAAAGGTCTTTCGAGGAAGAGGAGGAAGAATTCACTGATGAAGAGGACAACTCCACTCTTGAAAGAGATGAAGTGGAGGAGGTGAAGCTCGAGTACCCCCAAAGGCTCTCACAAGATGCCTCGAGCTTCGAAGTCTCTGAGGATAAAGAAGTAATACTTCCCGATGGCAACATTTATAAAGGGCAATGGAAGGATAAATAAGCCTCATGGTGAGGGCAGACTTGAGCTAAAAACAGGAGGTTATTACCAAGGAGAGTTCTATGAGGGCAAGCCTCATGGAAAAGGTCTCCGAATTCACCCTGACGGAAGTGAATACGAAGGGGATTTCGTACAAGGCAAAGCCCAAGGATATGGAGTCTTCAAGCATAAAACCGGGATTTATAAGGGATATTGGAAAAATGACCAGAAGCATGGTGATGATTGAGATGAAGTATGGCCCGATGGGACTACTTATAATGGAAGTTATGAGCGAGGAATGATGAATGGCAAAGGTCTCCTGATTTATAGCGACACTTCCATGTTTGAAGGCGATTTTGTAAGAATTTTCTGTTATATTTAGGTTAATAACCAAATGCAAGGCTATGGGATATTCGTATGGCCAGAAGGCAAAAGATATGAAGGAAGCTGGGTCAAAAGTCGGATGCAAGGACAAGGAACTATGAAATGGTCCAACGGCAATAAATATGTAGGCGAATGGGTAAGAAAATATTGGTAATTAATTTATAGCATAGAAGCAAAAGGAAGGGCTATGGTATCTTTTACTTCAATAATGGAGATCGATATGAGGGCAACTTTGAATTAGGAGAAATGCACGGAGAAGGCACTTTCTATAGATCAAAATAAGGTTATCAAAGGTGTCTGGGAAAAAGGAAAACTTAAAAGAAAACACAAACATGATGAAGAAAAGGAAGAAGACAGTTCTCCAGAAGTAAGACAGCTTGACATTTCAAACCAAGATTTCGACGCAAGTCCAGTAAATTACAGAATCAAAATAACCGAGCCCTCCTCACCACCTCCTGATGATTCCGCTGCTACAGCTTCAACAAACCAAAAAGCTAAATAACCCAATCTCCACTTTGTACCTAACTCAATAATAATATCTTTTCCAGGGGTTTTGGGGTTTTGGGGTTTTGGGGTTTTGGGG